CTATGCAAGCACTTTTCAATTCAAAAGAAAAAAATAAATCTCTCACTAATGAAGTAATTTAGTGCTTGTTTCCCCATATAATATGCTTGTGATCCTTAACCAAAGCCTGAAACTGAAACAGTTTTTAAATTATATTTCTCTCATCCATTTCACCTCTTCACTTGCACTTCTCCACCACTCCCTTGAAAAGTATTTAAATAGCTCTGTGCATCCATTATCAAAAAGTTGCAAATCAGGACACAGCAAAACAAGAGCCTGTGCCTGACTTATGTGTACTGTAATGGATGGTGCATGGTAGAACAGAAAGCATATAACAGCTTTCCTGGATGGGATAACATAATTGCAGGACAATGGATAAAGGGAAAACTTGGAATTTGAAACGTAACCAATATGTATGCTTGGGAGGTGGTAGCAAATTGGATTACCTGAGTAAAATCCACACAAACAAGCGGAAAGCATGTGAATTCCATGAAGACCCTGAACCATGGAGCTTTGAGGGTGCAATAATAGTCAACAGATCACCATGCTCTGTGAGTTTTAATAGCCATATATCTAATGTCAAACACTAATAACTATAAAATCCATTTAATCAAAACTGGAGTGAGGGAAGATTTGAATATAGGGAAAAGAAAAATAGTACAATAGTGCATAAATTCAAACAAAGAAGAGGAAAATAGGGAAAATGAAAGGGCCTAAGACCACTACATCACCACACGTAATATTACGTGAATAAAATATGCAACAAGAGTAATGATACAATTTTTATTGTGTGTTGAAGCATCTTCAGAAAATTAGTTAACACTTGCACATTATTTTTTGGTTTAATAAATCAAAGCAATATGTTTCACAATATTATTCAGTTTTTTTCTGTTTTTCAAGTATAAAATACCTAGTAAATATCTATAAGGTAAGACATTAGCATCTGTGGTATATCTCTAGATTATTTTCATTTTTCTTAAAAAAGGATACACAGTTGAAAATACATCATTCTGACAACTGATCATTGAAAGCTTCAATAATTCAATTTAGAATATATCTGATTCGTGAAGTTTTAAAGTTGATGAGTCTTACTTTTCAGTAGGTCATTTACAGATAAATTAATTTCAAGGCAGCATTTTTATAACATTTTTTTTTAAATAGAAACCTTTGTAAGTAAATTACTTTACTAATACAAATTGTAATGAGTTTAATGCACATGCTAGCAGTTAAGCAGTTGGACTTTCCTGTTAAAGATTAGGTTAACAGGTTTGGCTAACCAGTAAATGTATGGAGTTCCTTACATTTCCATTTCACTAAGTGGAATCAGTTCCCCACCCCCTTAGCCTATACCAGTAATTAGTTTCATAGTGAGAGAGCATTTATTTTCACGAGCTCAGGAGCTCCCAACTGTCACCCTTTGCCAATGGATATGGATGAATCTCGTTCAACTAATAACCCCAATGCAAACATGTTTTTTTCTGTGTCATTTATAAATGTGATACCTGGGAAACATACTAAATTAATCTCCTACTTTTAAATGATTGAGTTAATCAAGAGCCCTGCTACTGTGGCCGAGAAGACAGTTTTGAATTAACTTTCTCTCCAAACTATATTTGCACAGTATGTATGTACTTGGTAATTACCATTTTAACACATTATTTTCTTTTAAAAATTATCTTAATCTACAAGATAGTTTAAAGCTTTTATGGCAGTATTTCTGATCCACTAACATTTACTATGCAATTCTCATTAATATAATCAAATAAAATTTACCTGATATAGAATATTTGGCTGTATTTCTGTTCCTGGTGTTCCTGGTTTTACTGGTGAAAAACAATTTTAAATATTGGAAATTCAAGGTCTTGAATTTCAATGCTGGTATTATCCACACAATAATCAGATTTTTCATGTCTTCTAAAGGTGCCAGGTGTTCAAAACTATTTTATTTAAATATCTTGTTTTTAAAATGTTTACTGCAGGCTTTACTTTACTGAATGGCTTTCAATTTACCTTTTCATGGCACAGAAATGTTTACTGCTTTTCATGTTTTCTTTCCCCTCAGCTTCCTAATTGTAGATTATATATGGTCCTTTCTTGAAAGCAAAAACAATTAAATGTAGACCTTCTTTCTTGGTGCATTAATTATTCATTAAATTTAATTGCAGGTATACCTCTAGTCCAGTCATATTTCTTGAAATGGGAAGACTGCAGTCCCCAAAGACTCATAGCAAAGTAAATGTATTGTATAGCTAGAAATATACACTAATGAATGTTTTGAAACCATAACGTTTAGACAAGAGCTTGGAAGCAAACAAATGGAAATATAATTCTTTATATACTGCATTTACTTCAGAACAAAATGCAATATACAAGAATTGTATTTGCATAAACTTTGATTTTGTTGAAAAATGCTCATAATCATCACCACTACCAACACTGTTAAGAACCACCAAGGCATAATGTCCATTAGTTGCATGAGTTGGCTCTTCCAGTCTTGCCCCTTTTCTCAGTATATTTTGCTTTAAGTTATACCTTTAAAAGCACTTACGTTTCCTAAAACATTTATTTCTCATATAACATTCTGTTGCAGATAAAACATTTAAATGCTGCTCTTTACTGGGTTTGAGGGTTTCTTATTGACAATGGTTGCATTTATGTCCATGGGGTTTAATTCTCTGAAAACCTTTTTAGGACAGTGCTGAATTCATATTTTACCTATTTCATGTAGTATGCAGTTGTAGCCTGAAATTCCCCCTTGGAAAAGAAAACTATTTGAGCCCACTTTAGCTTTTGGCTATTTCCCTTGTGTTTTTCATTTTCATGTGGTTGAGCATTTTACCTTTAATGGACAAAAAATATAAATATGCAATGAACATTGACTATTCCAAAAATTGTATTTTTGTTGTTACTCGTCGTTAGCTTGGAGAGAGGGAGAGAGTAAAAACAACAGGATATCGAGATCCCTACCTGAAATTAGTGTTCAACAATGATATTTATGTCTTTATACGGGGGATTATTACCTCTCCCAGAGGGTAGGAGAATATTCTAAAAAGTATGGTTGAGAGGGGTTATCCAAGGTTTTATGTGCAAGATTAATAATAATTCAGGTTGTTAGCTGCGTCAGCATGCGTAGGCTGCAAAGGAACAAGTAATAGGTTTATTCCATGCTGAAAAAAAGAAGAAAGAGAACACAACGTTTCGGCCGTGGAGCCTTCTTCAGGTGTGCACATAAGCCCTGTTAGACATGTTATTGAGTGCAAGGATTCACCTGTAATTTTGCAGCCAGTCCTGATCACATTGTTCTATTTATTTTTGTTCTGCAAGGACAAGGCGTCTCCCCAGCTCTGAATACAAAAGGTTAGAATGCTCTAAAACTCTTACAAGACAATCAACACTGTGTATTCTACATTAAAATTCATTGACAACCTTTGTTGCTCCTTTAAATGCCTTGCCTCCATATTGGTGGTCGAAGTCAATTTACAGTCGATAATAGTACCAAGTTATTTATATTCATTTACTGTTTCAATATCTGTTCCATTAACAGTTACCGAGATGATAGGCGTAGAACATTCCCTCCTAAAATCAATTATAATTTCTTTTATTTCACTTGTATTTAAAAATAGTGAATTATCCTGACACCCATTATAAAAGATCTTGTGTCTGTTTTTGTTGTCATGCAAAAGTCCAATTAAGGAAACATCATCCACAAATTTACTAAATCGAACAGTTGTACAGTGTGAAAAGCAATGGAGACAGCGCACAGCCTTGGGGTTCCCCCGATGCTGATGCTGATGGTAAGAGACTTGCCTAAACTCACTCGCCAATACTGTTGTCGATCAGTCAGTGACGACAGCATACTGTCGCCAGGGAAACTGCAAATTAGATTGCAGTTTAAATAATAACATTTTTCTTAATAAATTTGACTGCTTGTGTGTTTTAACTTTATCACCTTCAGACACCAGTGATTTAATCAAAAACGAGAGTTTTCTAAATTCAAAATTCAGCTTTAAAGGCAGGTGAAAAGCATAGTAATAGACACTGAAAGCTGACAGCACTTTTCATTTTCTGTGTGGGTGTTTGACTTCAAGTCATAGAATACAATATATTTACATTTAATTCTAAGCATCCCAATAAACTATGTTTCTTGATGCTTAAAATATGACATGAAATAAAGTCACTTAAATTGCATTTATTTTGCACTCCAGTGCAAGCCTGAAAGTTAGGCTAAAAGTCAACTAGTGGGAGGAATCACTCCAAGAAAACAACCTGAAAGCCTGGGTCACTGTTCAGATATCCCTCATTACTGTCAGAAACTGTGCAATCACAGAGGCACTATCTCAGCCACTAGGGAGATGTTATTTTTTCTATTTTTGCTTTTAACCAGTATGTTTTCCAAGGGTGATTACTTGTTGATGGTAAATCTGTGCCAGGTTTAGGCTAACCTCTTCTACAAAAGGTATAAGGAAGGCAAAGGATGACATCAAGCAGTATCAATCCCACTTACAGATTGTCAGTACTAAGAAAGGTTCCTGAATAAAAACAAGTTCTTTAAAACGAATACTCCTATTTTCTAATGTCACATTTTTTACCTCAATTGACATATCTGACAGTCCAATTCAATGTGTCTTCTCCATATATTTCATACCTCTATTTGTTCTTAATAAATCATGTATAGTTGCAGATGCAATATTTAAAATATACCTATTTGTGCTATGATATTGATATGTACAGTATATATGTAAACATATTAGATACAGAACATGTGTATAAATCATGTAATGTTTTTTATAGAACTTGAATTTCAGGCCTTTAATTAATTAATTTAATGTAGCAGCTTTAAAATCAATCTTGTTGCACCAGTATGTTACATAACATGTAATCATTTTTATGTGTATGTTTGTGAATTGTGTGCATTTATGATTCACTGCATTTCCAATTAAAATTTCATAAGAGCATTAAAAGTCTGGCAAATTTGCCCAGATGAGACTAAAGAGCAAATCTGTGAGGAATTAGATCTGGCACAACATTTTAATGGTTTCAGGTTGAATTATTACAAACAGGGATGATTTTAATTTATCTAGTGACAGCTTTCATAATTGCATAAAGTAGTAAACATACATGTTTTATTGTTTTCTCTCTATCTATTGTTCATGCTTGGTAGGCACTGCATCCTTAAGGATATCTGTGGGGTTAAATACACATTTAAAGAGAAAAAATATTGAAAAGCATCACAGGAACAAGATGAGAAGTGTAAATATAGTAACAGCCTTTTTATGGGTCCCAATTGTATTGTGCTTCATTATTACTATGTGTTCAGCAGGCAAAGCAAGGACAGTAAAACCATATGTTCATTAGGAACATGTAAATGTTTATTCCATGCTGAAAAGGAAAGAAAATAAACAATGCTGCTGGTTTACCTCTCTCCCTCAAGCTAGAAGAAAGCTCCACAGCTGAAAGCATTGTTTCTTTTCTTTCCTTTTCAGCATGGAATAAAGACAAGGTAGGGGCAGGGAGCAGGGAACAAAAAGTATCGGCACTGAAGGAGAATAGGAGGAGAGATGAGAGACTGAAACCTGCAAAAGAGCAGAGAATTTTTCTGCCGGTTTCCCTCTACCCCTCATACCTCAAGACGGCTCCATGGCTGAAACATTGTCTCTTTTCTCTTCCTTTCAGCATCAAATAAACACTTACCTTTTCCTTGCAACCTAAGCATGCTGGCACAGCTACTGACACGAACTTCATACAATCATTATTTCTTGTTTTTTTTTTCAACTTTATAATTGACTGTGTTTTACTGTGTATGGGTAAAACATGCTTGGGTAAAAGGTATTGAAATCCTCTCAACTTGTTCGGGTAATGAGATGGGAAATCCAGCTTCAGAAATCAGGGATGTAAAACCCTGTGGTTTATTACAATCACCATCACTACTGACACCATTAAGAACTTCTAGGCCATAATGTCCATTACTTGCATGATTTGACACTTACATTCTTTTAATGTTCCTCAGCATGTTTTACTTGAGGTTCAGTCTTTCAAAAATATGTATGATTCCTAAAATAATTTTCCATAGAACATTCTCTTGCAGACAAAACATTTACATGCTTGTATTTATTTGTATGGGGACTTGAGGGTGAAGGTGTTTGTCTCTGGTACTTCCCACCTCTCAACCCAACCTTGCTAACTCTAAAAAGGTACAGTACATGTGCATATACAGTATTACAATCATTAGAAATGATGTTTTTTCCCCAACATCATTTATTTAGTTTTTATTTGATTCTTTACAACTGTCTTTCTCATTTGCTTATGTCCAAAACCTCACAAATTCTTTGTTTTATTTACTGGAAACAATTAATTATGAGTTGTAACAACTGAAACATTGCTGGATTTATGCACTTTAATATGTCATGCCACAGTTTTTCCAGATTCTTGTTATCTTATTGTTAGTGTGAAAGAGTGAACATAAAATTTAACCAATAATGTTGGTGACACATTTCACAATGTCTGTTTACAATATTTAAATGTTCCGTCCTACAGATGAGATATAAAACCAAGGTCCTGACCCTTTGTTATTAAAAATCCCAGGGCGGTCTCAAAAAGAGTAGGGGTGTTACTCTGGGGTCCTGGCCAAACATTCCAATGGGTTTTACCAATCATGGCCTCTTAATAATCCCCATCTACCGTCACCTCACCCAGGCGGATGCTGCACATTGGTGGTGACGTCTGGGAGTCCCCATTACCCATAAAGGACTTTGGAGTGTACAGAAAGTGCTCTATATGTGTACGCAATTATTATTATTCAATCTTTTGTAGAAAAAGCATGAATGTTGAAAACTTTAAATATGAAATGGTTTTAAAACCATAATTTTTACAATTTAAATCTGAAACAAAATTACCTGTATTCCATTTTCTATTTATACACAGTAACAATTCTAATTACTGTACGTGATTTTAAGAATGATAATTACTGTATATTAGTGTTATGCAGTATTGTAACATCTCATTTGGAGTTGTTGTAGCAACATGGTAACAACATCCTGTCTCCGCAATGTAATCATTGTATTTAATGAAATTATTTGTCACTAGTATGCATACATTGAAATTAGCACACAAATCACAAATAGGATAAACTCTACAAATTATTGAAATGTATGCATTGTAAGTTCTTGTTTCAATTGTCATCGATATGCAGGAGTGTTCAGACTTGTGAGTTGGACGATTCTTCCAAAACTAAAACTTCCTTAGCAATATTTTCAATATTTTTTTAGGCTTAAAGGTTTCTTTTGGTTTTTCCAAAGGCTTTTCTTTTTTTTTTTAGCTGTGTGGTTTTTATCCTCTCTCTACTATTGTTCTTATTGTGAACACAAAGAAATGAAAATTTAAGAAAATACCCAAAATTCTCTGGTTTGATCCTACAGGATGAAAAATATTGATTTTATTTTCTACATCCCCTGTGTCTTTATGGCATCAAACACAGTCCTGGAGATTCTTACTTTTCAACTTATCTTTGATTCCAAAACTGATAAAGACTTTAGAGTAGAAACAGCCAATTGATGAAATAATTAGTGTAATTAAGAAACTGGGAGCACATAGGCGGTGAATACTAAAATCTCCTGTGGGCTAGAATCTATTTAGGGCAAGAATCATTCAAGGCTCATCCTGATCATTTGGTTCAGTGATGGACAAATTCCAGATGTCAATAGTTATTTAATCAATTGGCTATTTTTTCCTTCAAAAATCTTTAACAATTACGATGACAAATAGAACTAGAGAACCTGCTGGACTGAAGATCACTGGTTTACAGTGCTTGTTCATCTCTCATGCATTACACAATATTTCATGATTCACACTGCAATTTTCTTTGCTGTTATTTATGAGCCGTTGACACCCTATGATGTTAATTGCCAATATGCCTTATAACAATATATCATTCTGTCACAACTATTTCAATCCTATCACTTAGATGCTTTGTGAAAACATCTGCCTAATTGTTTGCACATGTTCCTGTTTATGCCTCTCTGGAAAAATTGAAAATGACAGCACAGGGTGTGAAGAACTGGTTCGGTAGGATACATCAGTACACTAGCCCTGGCACAATGGTATTAATTTCAAATCTGAGACGTTGCCAAATTAAAGTTCACTGAGTACATTCTGAGTGACTTCAATTATTCAGATGTACATTCACTTTTGCCTGTGGGGCTTACTGGCACGATGGATCTAAAACTTCTGATTAAGAGGTTAGCTGAGTGCTTTGTGTGTTGAGAGGATGCCATATTCTATAAACTTCTTACAAAAAGAATTCCAACAGTGCACCAAAGGAGCTCATATTCCCAACGTATGATTGTTTCTATATTTTTTACTTTGTAGCAGATATTTACAGCTTTATTGCAACAATCACAAAGCTGTCAATTAGTTACATTTCTTGTTTCATTACAGACCTGAGGAGTACCTGGATCATGTCCTATTGAAATGTGAATTTCTTTTGTCATTTACTAAATGAGACATGAGTTCCTATATTAAAAAAAAAAGCAATAAAAAATTGTATATTAAATCACAAAAGTAAATGTCAAGGTGTAAAAAGTGGGAGTAGGGCATCAGGTATTGGAGATTATTGTATGCAAATTTAGCATAATTATAACCAATGTCTTTGTAAGAGTTGGTGTGTTTGTCTTTATTCTCTGTTCTTTGAGCTTTCTCTCAATCAAAGATCTGCCTGGTGCAGACAGTAAGGCAGGTGCCAATCAACAAAGATTGACCAACACACTGTTTGTGAAGTCTTTTTCTCTTCTCCAGGGAATACACATCCTCTGGGTAACAGTACCATACAGGAAGTATTGTGTGACACAGTGTAATGATATATAGCAGAGATCGTGTTACACATTTCATACACGTCTCTGTCCCATCTCACATTCCCACTCGCACTGTGTTTAACAAACACTCACGCTGCAAGTAAATTTACCGTTCACTCCCATCTCTATTTTAGTTCCCCTCTTTCCTCACTTCCCCCCTCACTATTGCGGATTCTCCTCGAGCTCCCAAGTTCCCGTTATTCATTTCTAGTTTATATTTGGTATCTGACCTTCTAGCTTGCCACTGGTTTACGATTTAGTCTAGCGTTTCGTATTGTTGCTCTCCAGCATTTTCTGACCTTCTTGCTTGTTTCTTGAATTACGTTTTGCTTAACGAACTGGATTGGTGTTCTCTCTCTCTTTCCCTGAAGTCCTGCACAAGATCCATACTACCTACCTGCCCACTGTCACAAATGGCCTCCATCAGGTCTGTAGTCTGATTTCTTCCCAGGATCACAGGTCCAAGATCACTATCCATCACCCAAAGGAAGATCCACCAATGAGAGATCTATAGGGTGGAAACCAGAACTATACCTGAGTATAGAATTCTGCCATTAGACCTTTCCAAAAATATTCTTTCCACAACAGGAGAAACATGTTCAAGAATCTGCTGTAATTTTCTCTTGATCAACAAACAAGACATTTGGACCCTTTTTCTTGTCGGCATCCGGAATGTCTTGAGGTATGAGGGAAAGATCCTTGCACTGACAGCCAGTTCTCTTCAGTGGAAAGTTCAGGATAGCACTGAGCTGAAATGGGAGAAAGTCTATGCACAAGAAGGTGACTGCTTGTTCAGGGTAAGTCACACAACAAGGGGAGAAATGTGGTTCACTCCCAGCATTGAAGCTACTGCTGAAAAATGAAATATTCAGGGGTGATAATGATAACTATATCTGCAGGTACAGCATCTATCCCATGCGTTTTGATGATTTCCAAAAATTAATTCAGTAAAACACTCCATATATGAACTCAAGATGAAGGTTATGGTGATTGCCTCTCCATCAGTTCTGCAGTCAATTTTAGTAATAAATTTAACAAATCCAAGTAATTTGCGATCCAAATGCTGCATCCAATCATGCCTCTCACTGACTGATGCAATGAAGCTAATGCATGCAGTTAATGCAGCTCTTGCTGGTATATATAAAATATGTTTTTAACAAGCTTCATTTTGCTCAGAACTGAGCCGAGAAGCTGTTTGGATCCCAAATATACCTAGATTCTATGACTATATGTCTCTTCAACTTTCTTGTACTAACTCCCTGTGGACTTCAGAATGAATTTTAAAATTCTGCTGCACACCCTTAAGGGCTTAAATAGTCTGGTTTCAGACTACATTATTGAGCTGTTATCCCCCTGTAAAACAGCATGTCATTTCCTTCACTGTTTGGACTATGGGTTTCTTTCAGTTCCCAAAATAGTCTCTGAACCTTAGGAGACTGGGCTTTCTGTTCTGTTGCTCCAAGACAGTGGAATGATCTCTTAGACCATGTTAGATGAAAATCAGTCAGCACTTTGAAATTCTGTTTTAAAACTTGTTTTGTTCACCTGCTTTTATTTCTAATTTATTGTATAAATGTGTACTTAGTATTTTTTGTTCATTTTGTTTTATTGTTGTATTGTAAAGCATCTTGAAATGTTGTCACAATGGTGCTATAGTACATACATTATTATTGAACATAAAACAATATAAATAAACCCCACAAAACTGTTGGAGTATTAAGGGTCATTCTCCCCAATTTAAATTTTTAAAGGGATGCAATTTAAAATACATTACCCAGCTATTAAAACGCTGGTGTGTTGGCACAAAAGAACTAATATATTTGATTGAGCAAAGCAGCCCACTTTATTACCGGAGGTGTGAGAGAGATCACTGTCCTATTTAAAGAGAACAACAGGTCTTGCAGAGCAACAAGTCTGAAGTCCAGCAAAATTGCTTAGCTCCAGAAAGGTGTTCTTCCAAAAAACGGATGACATTTGACAACTTGTAGACATGTCATAAAGATTCTATATCATATGAAAAAAACATGACCCATAGCATCATCCTACCACCCCTGTCTTTCATTGCATTGAACAAGCCTTTCCTGCTTATACTTTTCTTCAGCTTGTCACCAGACCTGTACTCAGCCATCACTTTGGTGGAGGCAAAACTGATGTCTTCTCGTCACACAATTTTAGACTCTCTCTCAAGCCATTTGAGAGATAGTCTACACCGAGCTTCACTGCTCTGCATTCACAAGCAATTTCCACTTTGCAGTTTTCTCATGAATGCAAAGCTTGATTTAACAACTAAGATATTTTGTTCTTTAAAAATCAGACATTTAGAAATTAATATATAATGCATTTTCACTTAACCCAATGGTCTTCATTAGGGGTGTGAAAATTCAAAGAAATTTAGTGTTAGTCGAACTGAACATTGATCGCATTTCATTTTTCTTATTTTACAACTATTTTAATTGGATTTGAATATTTAAATGAAAAAAATATACAGTTAAACCCTTTATTTTAGATCTTTTCTTCTTCATTTTTAAGCACAGCAGTGATTTTCAAAACATTTTAAGGAATACATTCAAACTATACAAGCAATTTCAGGAGAAAATAATGATTGTTTTGCAAATGTCATGATGAAAAAAGGATAAGAGCATTATTTACTGTTGCTCAGATACAGTGACATGCAAAAGTATTCAAACCCTTTAAAATTTTTCAAATGTTGCTGGTTTACATATGATAGTTATGCATCTTTTTCTAATCAGTATACTGTATCTATTGCAAACTCAAGTGCTCAATCATTTTTTTACATTTTTACAGACAAAATTAGATATTTGACAGTGGATATCTTAAAGAAAGTTAAAAACCAAAACATGCTACTTGCATAAGTATTAATATACAGTAATATGGCCTTAGAAAAAAAACTTTTATACATTATAATGCATTGCTGAATTTTATTTTTTAATGTGAAAATTAAATCTGAAACTATTTAAGAAGCATTGGATAATTTACTGAAACCCTGTGGGACTGGAGTGGACATACTGTATATACTGTGCATTGCAATGCTGATATGCTAGATAAAAGTAACTGTAAACAATGGATGTTACCCTGTTATAATAAAGCATGTCTTTCTATAATTATATTTCTGAACCACAATGATTAGTTATATTAACATTTAAATGTGGCAACACTACATAACATCTTACAGTGGTTTTGTAGGATAATGATATATTTACCATTTTACTTTGGTGAAATAAAGGATATCTTTGTTTTACAGTATGGATAATGACAAAGAAGTAAAAGCACCTTCAGAAGTGACCATGTGTTTTTTTGAAAATATGGGTGGAATTTATTATAATAAGCCTGCTTGTATATTATATATATATATAATAATGTACACACAAACATTATATGAGCACACAAAAACAGTTATGTTATTTTGACAGTTCAATTTTTAGCATCACTCTACAATTGCACTATGCACTATTCAATATAACCCACTATGAGGCTATATAATTGAAATTACTGTCTGACATTTTCTCATACTGAGGCAGAAAGCAACATAACTTTACTTGTCCACTTTCTAGACAAGACAGCCAGCTCAGCGGACCTGGGATTAGACCTGAAAATCTGCTGCCGATTACTTACAAAAATACATAAACTGCCATTTGACTAGAAAAAACATTGAAAGCTCCTGAATGAAGGATGAAACATGTGAAATGTAACAATGAAACAGAAGCACTCTTCCCCCTAACCTCCAAGAAATGTTTTATCATTTTAATCAAAGCTAACCAAAGACATTTCTTGCTTTTTCTTAACACATGTTATTTTGTATTTATGGTTTTTCTGATTACCTTCATTTTAATTCTTTGGAATTATGCTCCTATTGTATGTCAGTTCTCCTGATGGTCTACTGTTCATATCCACAATGTTATTTTTTGTGATTGATGTATTTTCTTTTCATACTTTTTTTGTACTGCTTTAAACAAACACTTCATTCACCACTAATGTCTGTCACCCACATGTTTAAAGGTCTTCAACTCCAGTGCTGATCAAATCCAGCACTGTTTAATTTACAAAACCTGATAACAGACAGCTACTGTATGTGCTTGTGCTGCTGGCTGATTAAAAAAAAAAGATTGCATTTAAAATTTGTATTAAAGTTTAAACTTTAATCAAAAAAATATTCCACAATGGTATCTACAATTGATATATACAATCATAATAATTGAAAAGAATACAAGGGCAGGTGAGTTTCAAACCCTATAGGTATGGGGCAAGTAAACTTTTTATCCAATAACCATCAGACATTTTTAGTTAATAGTTCTAATCTAACTATATTGAAAGTGTTATTCATACCGTACTTAAAATTACCATAGAAATGTACTAATGCCATGCAAATGTTTCTGTTGTTCTATTATATTTAATTAATTCATGACAATTTTCCTTTCAGTGTAGCAGGTGATATTTGTGTATGTTAAATTTCTCTTCTTTATTGTGCTGAAAAAAAGCACACTCATAATTGTTTTCTGTTTTCAAACGACATCTTGATTATGCTATTGTTCGCCATTTTTTTTCAAACCAAATTCAACATAGAATGCATGTTGGAGTTGTACACTTATTTAGAGCTCTCATAGCAATGTGGTAACAACATCCAATCCAATGTACAGAATGCATACATCATGATTAACACAGGAGAGAATTAATAGGTTATTAAACATTTAATACTTTACTGATTTGTCTGATAACCACACGCAGCTGCTATACTGGCAGGATTCACTGTGCCACCTGACAGTTTTACAGAGTAGTGCAGTCCTGCATAAAATTTTGAAAAAATAAAAACACTATGACAATACTGTCATACTGATTGACACCTTGCATATTGTATTTTAAAATACAGGAGTGCACATAACATGAAATTTTCATAATAACAATGCCCCATTTTCTAATCATATAATTTGCCAGAGTAATAGTGTTTTTTGCTTCAACTACTAACAATAACTGTCTGGAAAATAAAGTATAAACAGTGTTTTAAAATGGTATCAAATAAATATTTATTTTAATACTTAGGGTAGCGCAAGGGCATAGTGGTTAGCAGTGCTATCTGTGTGGAAGGTCTAGTGTTCTCCCTGTGTTTGTGTGGGTTTCCTCCAGTTGCTCTGGTTTCCTCCCATAGTCCAAGGAAATACTGTTAGGTAATTCACTTTTTGTGTGTGCCCTGTGATGGACTGGCATCCCATCCAGGAGATGCTGCCTTGCACGCATTGTTTATCAGAATAGGTTCCAGCTTCTCCCAAACCCAGATAAAGCAGTTAGAAAATGGTCATTATTTTTAGTCATTTATGTATAGTTTATCCATAGTTTTAACATCAGTTGTCTTCTGTAACACAAATTGGTGTTCATCAACAACTTAATAATAGTATTATCAGTCTACAACATTTGATCTCTCAATGGTGACATGGTTGTTAGCACTATTGAACTACTTCAGGGCAAACTTTTAGTGACCACTTATCTTTCACCTATCTGCAGGTTGAGCAGTACGAGAGTGAATGAGTGCTCAAACTTTGGCTGCATTTTCATCTTGTGAATGTACTTCACCTGACCAGCTTCTGTCTCTGTAGTAAAGGAATAGCTTGGTTAAAGATTTAACATGCTTATGTAGCAGTATATCAAGGGTTATGCCTTATACAGTTTTCTTCAGGAAAGCATTAGATATGGATTGTATGTAGACCTGATGTGACTCATTGCCGTGCTGTGAAATAAAATAATAAAAGTTAACAAAAAATTAACACAGTCACTCTTCTTGTGTGTCTAACAGAAAAGTAAAAGAAAAAAAGTAGAGAAATTAAAAGGAAGAGAAATAGAAAAATCTACAAGACAAATTACACAATTTGTAAATGAATAAGTAGAAATGAACATCCACATGACTACAGAACTCCTCTTTAATCACAGTTAAAAAGACAACAGAAATAATTAAAAAATAACTTCTGATAAAATTAAAGGCAACATTCAAATGTTTTAATTCTCATTTACAGTGCCTGATCCATTTTAGTAAAAAAAAATGGAAATACAGAAGAAATTAAGAAAAAATATGGGACTATCTTAAATGTTTTAAGACTGTGGATAGTAAAAGAAAATGCAAAACTAATCAATAGTCTAGGGACATAGATGAAGTCACAGGGAAGACAGTATTTCCTGAATGTTGAGTTTTTGTGCCAGTGTACATCAGTTGGCTGCCTGGGGTGCTGACAGATGTTGGTTTGCTTTAACTGTACAATGTATGTCTAGAACAGTGATTGTCAAACTTTTTGCAGGTCACCCAAGCAGATGGATAACTTTGATAATTATGTTTTCATAAAAGTGAGCGTTATAAACTTTTAAAATGAAAATAATGAAGTGTGATTTGAATGAACATGCCACAAGTAACAGATGTGCAATTAACATTTACATGATTGAATTTTTAAGGTATGGTCAGTTCCCATGGTTTTAAGGTAAACATGTTTATCCAGTACATATTTTATTATTTACTTTGACTACGGATTATTTTTTTCTTTTTGACTAATACAGTACACAAGAAATACAATGGCAACTTTGTCCCTTTTTCCTCACAAGTATTTTTTTTACCCAACACAGTGTTTTAAATGACAAATAATTGAATAGGCTTTCCTAGTTATTTCATATCTTCCTAATTTGAAACAACCAGTTGTATATCTACCCTAATTGCTGGGATAATTCCTGTACTACAAATTAAGAATAAGTATCTGTAAAAGAAAACAACTTCCAAAACATGCATTCATCATTTGTAATACTCCTAAAATACCACAGAGGAAATTAAGCAACAGGCAGTACATCTCACTAATATCACTGAAAACTAGTAGATACTTGTTCTAAACTAGAAGTCTTTGCTGTAAGCCAAGGAAGAATTGGCCAGCTGTACTCTATCCAACTGATAAATCAGGCTGGTGCTTAGTAAACTAATCTGCAATTCCATAGATGACTGGAATCATGACAGACCCTTGTCACTAATCATGGATGGTTGCATCATCAAATTATGGGGGAGGCGATTAGGACTAAAATCTAACAAATTTATCTATTACAGAAAAGCAGTCAAAACAAATGCAATAAATATGGGTTAAGAAATAGGTCTTGGATGTTTAAACTGAATCTTCTGTCCCTGTCTCATTGAAGCTATTTGTCTGTTTATGATTCCAAAGGAAGGATTATGAGCAAAAACTTTGGGCTGTTAGTGGAAAATGTTATCTTTAGGCCCAAGGAGTAGAAATAAATCATAAAGGAAACTCCAAAGAGTTTGTTTTGAACTTTGGCCACTCCACTTTGGGAGTAATTAAATACTCTGGCCTTCCCCTTAAAGAAGGCAAGTCATACATGGTCAGGCTAATCAAAACACACTTTCTACATAGGACAAGTTGTATTATCATACATACAATACTGTACATATACTTATATCTGAGAGCTAGGATGTGTAGTAAGAATATTTCAGTCAAACCTCTCCATACAACTACCCTGGTTGGTGGTTATCTCTTCTCTACTATAACACTTTCAGTCTACAGCAGTCCTAGTGGAAATGTTCTGCAATCACTCAGTGGAAACTAGAATTAACTACTGTAGTAAACCCCCCCTCAATTTGACTGTATGTGACAATAGAGTGTATATACATGGTTCAAACACATTAATGAAAAAATAAGAATAGGAAATTTACTAAACAATGCAAAATGATTTACACATTGTCCATTTAGAAGATTAAGTAAAATCATACCTCTTGTAACTGCCATTCACAGAAAGAGGGCTGACACCTGGATCTATATTACCTGTTTCCATGAAGGTCTGATATTAAAACAAAAAACCAGAGATGGGCTGTCACAGGGTTTATACTGTGAATGCTATCATTGAAATCCAGGTGCAGGGGGAACTCTAATCAGCCACACCTGTCTGCAATCAGCATTTGACAAATACACTTTGATTAATTGATTGATTGATTGATTGATATGAGAGCACAACAGGTAATTAAGTGTTTATTTTTTCTAATTATTAACTTAAGGAAATCACCCTGTTCTGACTAACTTTGTTACCCCAATAATGAACAATACTTTCCAGCCTCAGCAGGTGTTTTATGTGAGTGTCTTTGCCACTTGAGGTACCTGGGCACCTAAGAACTAGAAGAGTTTTGCTCTTTAGTCTTATATTGTAGCACTGTACAGTTATGTTTTAGAAGATACACATCTCTAATTCTATCTTTGCAACACAAAGCATGAAATCATTTGGCGATATTGAAATTAATTTTGTTAGTTTTGTCAGTTAAACTCTTAAGTGTTCTTTAGCTATACCTAGAGTGCGGCATCAATTGACCTATTTACGTAGCATTAGAGGTCTGGTAAATCTGAAGACAAAGTGGTAGTTTGAAGAGTAAAAAACAATCAGACACATCCTGCAGTTGGTTATACATTTAATATACTTCTAGTTTCAGTCGTAGCATTGGAAGAGTTCTATTCCAAGTTATTGGGTTAATATTCCAAATATCTGTAAATATTTATATGCATTCTGGTGCTCCTTCTTATATTCAAGTTGATGGTAGGATCTTCCTGCTTCAAAGAAAAACAAACTGCAGTCTGATACATACTGTATTTATGTACTATACTGTTAATCAGGTTTTTATTTATATAAACAGTGTATTCCAATTTTCCAATTTGTAATTTTGAATATCTCAGAAAATATTTGGGAGTTATGTAAAAATGTTTCATTCTTAAAAAAATCTATATTTCTATATTTGTATTTACAACATAGTCATTCTTAAATTTAGCAGTCTTTGGCATTTGAATTTTCAAATTCCTGCTAAACTTAAAAAAAAAATGAGACAGTACTCACTTCAAGTCTGCAAATAAAGGAAACTTTGGTGAAAAATTGCCCTCAAAAGGAATTTTAAGTTGTGTATGCCATTAATAAAATAAAAATTCAGACCTCAAACAGAATGTACACCTTTCTTCTATGAGTAGTGCTATTCAGCATTATGGTGCATCTGAAGGGAACCATTGTCTTAGAAGGGTTTTCCATCTTCAAATGGAAAGCTTCATGAAATCAAAGTATAAGCTATTCATAAATACACTTTACTGTTGTTTTCAGTTTTTCAGATTCAGACAAGGAGCTGCTTATCTGTTACATATCTTTAAAGAAGGGGCTACATAAGTGGTACTTTATATGGCCAAGTAGGAAGAAAGAAACAATATGACATTGTTAAATACTCCTAATGCAAATGTGAAACTTACAGATTCACTGAGAAGTGCTTTGTGTATGGTATGTAATATATGTGGGCAGATGTTTGTGGGAAAGCTTCCGTGTGCTTGCTGCAGGGAATTTTGAGACTACAAAAGTCTATCTCTGTCTAATCGGCTTTATTATCATTGTCAACTACACTTCCCAGTGCAGGACACGTCAATTGCCCCCCTTTAAAGCGCTTTTAATGAGCTCATGAACATACACAATTATGTATAAAAACTATGACTATACAGTAATAATATAGCTTAAATGTGATTTGTGAAAGGATTACAGACCATCCCATGGTATTAAAATCAAATTTAACACGATTCCTGTGCATTCTGGTCACGTGTTCCTGAAATATTCTGCTGAATTTAATTCTTTTAATTAGGATTAATTATTTTTTTTCTTCATGTCTTGATTGAGATATTCTTGACATAATTCTTCATTCCTAAGCTGTATGTTATTCTTGAACTGTAAAAACATTACCAGAAAATGTGTATGAAAACTGTTCTTATTATTAGAAATGTAAAGTATCTGTACATGATACAATCACTGTAGCTTGACTAAATTTATGCCCAAAGCACAGTAAAAAGCACAGTAAATTTTTAATCAATGGATTAACATTATCTCATAAATTCTAGTGTAAAAAGAGGATAAGATATGGCAAGATGATTTAACTAAGTTAATTAACTTTTACTTGCTGATAAGATTTCAATGAGGAATAGCATTTTTCATCACATCATCTATTATATATCAAGGATAATAGACTGTTATCATGTGACATCCTTGACTTCATATTGTAGTTGGAAGGAATAAACTGGTGCATAGCAGAATTGTCTTAGCTGTATACTGAAGGCAGGGTGTGGAGACTGGACCATTATTCAGTACCTAGATGTATTCTATGTATACATAGCTGTAACAGCCAATGTGTCCAGAGCCAAGAAACAAACATGTTGATTTATTGTTAAATGAAGCTGGTCTTCCAGGCGGCGAACACAGCTGTAAGATGACTAACACCAGGAGTCTCAGTGTCAGAATATATCTTTACTGTGATGACTAATGTACTGTAACATTCTCACATGTCAGCATAGTATCATTTTTTGGAATAAGCACTGTATCTTTTAGAATTGACAATGTTTCATTCTAAGAACGAGTGCAGTATAGATAAACTGGGTGGTGAAAACAGGTACAATCCTCTGTAACTAGTTTGGAAGTTGCAAGACCTTATGCCTATGTGCTATAGGTGTGTAGTCCTTAGAAATATTAACCAAATAAGTCATACTGTATGTGAGATTTAAAATAAGCCAATCAAATTGCCAAATGAATGCTCTCATTGGTGGGCTACTGCCAAAGATTGATCACATTTCAGCACACATTTCAATAACCAATAATACACAGAAAAGTATAATACACAACAGCAATTTACAAACCTACAATGAAATTCTTAAGATTATAAATCTTTAAATGTATGATGAAGGCTTATTTGAACTTGAACCAACATAAGCTGTATGTGCTTTGAATCTAATCTTTTCTCTTTGGTAGCAGTGGACTGTTCATTGAAATTGTGAAAATCTAGCATGAAATTGAGAAAGAAATAACTTATTGCAGGCTCACTAATAAGTACCATAGCTCCTGTCAATCTTAAAGGGTATCCCTTCTTAATCAATGTTGTACCTATTGTTTTTTCATTGTTCTCTATGACATTCATGCTGTTTTTAAGCCTTTATTCAATCAGATTAAATACAGTAGATTTACATGATTCACAGATTTTTAAATATTATCATGACTATCCATTCATATAGCAGGGGATGTACTGGACTTGAGAACTACAAATGAGCTTACATTCTTTTTCCAAGAGCACAACAGCAGTGTATGGGATTTAAACACACAACATTCCTGTTTGGAGTCTGGACACATAACTGCTACTTCATGCTGTTGCCAGATGAACCAAGGGAGAGCACTAAGGTAGTTCTGTGCTATTAGAAATTGTGCAGTCAGGATTCCCACACTGGTGGAATTTGCAAGGGTCAGCACAGCCAAAGTGCACTGTTTGAGCCTAACTCCAGATTATATCTCTCGTGTTGGTAAAATATGTACAATATTTAAGGTTATTATTTAAATGGCATATACGTGATGGACAAACTTAGCAGGTTATGTCACTGTAATAAATTATTTATGCTGTATTATTCTGACTGATGCTATATTACAGTTTTTGTCTGCATTTGGCCTATTGTCTCAAACAAATATTTGAGACAATACAGTATATGTTAACAGATACTGTATAGCTGTTGTCTTCCTGTGTTCTGGTAGTAAAAAGATGTTCTCTGCCAGACAATACTTTGTTTTTGTTCGTTCTTTCTAACTGACCCCACCACTGAATGAAATCTAGCACTATATCTTTGAACATTGCTTTCATGAACTAAAATACATGTTTAAATCTTCTTTTCTTCCTTCTGCTCACATCTTGTGGCTGCTCATGTTTTGCTCAAACATTATTGTGTATATCGTGTGGCTGCTCAAATTGTTGTGTATATTTTGGAAGTTAAAAACCTTAGAAGACTAGAGAAATGAATCTGAGCAATGACGTTTCTCAAAGTACTCATCTCATTACTTATTACTGCATTGGCATGAATAATGTAAGACCAAACAGTTGTTGACATCTCATTAATTGATAGCACCCAGTTGCCATATTATTCTGTCTGAGGAAATGAGTAAATGCAGTAGTATACTTTTTATCTCTTAGAGGACGAGCTCGGAAATGCAGACCACTCATCCTTTGTACCAATTTTTTTAGTCTTTTTAATGGTCTAAATCATAAATAAAATAAATCAAAGATTTGTTATTTTATGAAGTACACAAATACATTTTTCCTTCATTTCCTTCTTAACAGTAGAACACAGAAATACATCAGTGAAATAATGTATCTTCATTTGCTGTACTTGTAAAGGCTCATAACTGCTAGAGTTTGATGTATTCTTCTTACCGTAAGGAAGGTAGTCCTTTTAACACATTCGCCTGTCAGGCTTCCTGAGGCCACAAAGGAGCTTGTCAGTCTCAGCTGCACTTGTAAAAGTATTTGCAATTTTAAGCACATGATTAAAACAGCACTTCAGTGACAATTTCAATGTGGGCATCAAATCGTACATAAACATTCAAGTTGACAGCAGGAAAACAAACAACAAATTAGTCCAATATAAAGCACAATGTGTTAACTCCCTGTGCTTCTCATGCCCTGCCAATGGAAAAACAGAGTCACTGTGTTCTAAAGTGGAAAACACGGGAACATATTTTTTTTTAACTATCAAGGCTGCTAAAAGACTAAGCTATATCGCTTACAGTAATTTCTAATTGTGTGATTTTCATTACTTTTTTTGTTGAATTGTTTTGACAGCATGGACTGTATACACAAGTGTCTATGGTTGCAAGTACAGAACCTGGAACCTTTATACATAAAAAGGTCTGTGAGATTAGTTTTCTTTAAAGAAAAATTCAAAAAAATAAAGAATGCACTTCATACAGTATGTGGAGCTCTCTGTCTTTATCTGTTCTATTGGGTAGTGTATTAGTATAGAGCA